GTAGTTGGTGTAATGAAATGTGTTTATGCGGTTTAAAGTAAAAAAGACACATTATTTTCCACATATTGTACACTATTGTTTCTCCTCTATGCCCCGCCTTTCTGAAACGCGTCGATTTTTAAAAAGCTCATCAGTGTGAAAAGCGAGGTGTGCTTTGATTGGCTTAGAGAAAGGAAAAATTGAAATCGCATCATATGACCCCTTTAAGGCAAATGTTTAATTTATTTATTTATTTAAAAACAATTTTTTTTAATTCAGCAAGGATGCATTAAATTGAACAAAATATCAATTATATTGTATCACAGTTTCCACAAATAATTATGTAGCAATAAATAAATAACTTGAGAACCAAATCAACATATTAGAATGGTTTCTGAAGGATCATGTGAGCTGCAAATTCAGTTTTTTCACAGGAATAAATTACATAAAAAATCTAATATAAAACAGCTATTTTAAATGTCAATAACATTTCACAATATTCATTTTTTAACTGTATTTTTGATCAAACAAATGCGGCCTTAGTGAGAATAAGAGGCTTCTTTAAAACATATTACTAACACAAAACTTTTGAACGGTAGTGTGTATATATTCTGTATATATTCATATTTATTGATTATGTTGTTACATATTCAATGAAGTGTGTTTTCTGTAAAAAAATGCTAAACATATTATAGTTTATATATAGTAATAAAGTCATACAGTTTACAGTAGAGGCGGTATTTAAAGATATAGAGGCAATGTTTAGTCGATGGGGGTGGAGCAGTTTCAGGCATTCTCATCTGCAATATTTAAAAAAATTGATAAATCAAGTTTGATCAGGACAATTTTGCAGTTCATAGCAACAAAAAGTTGTTTAGGAAAGGATTGAGCATTTTATTTCATTTTAATGGCTGTTTAGTGTTTTGGAAAAAAGATCAAATTAAAAATGGCCTTTTAATGCAGGGGGGCATTAGCCTCTTGTAACATGAAGATAAAAGTAACTGACACAAGTCAGTTTAAATATTTATACTCTACCTCCAAGGAATCAAATTTGTGTTTATGTGATAAACTGAAAAAGCAAGCTTGGCAAGCGAGTTGTCCAAAAACTAATAATGGACTTAAAAGGAAATGTTTCCAGTCCTCAGCATTGATTACTGTGTCTTTATGTGCCATGGTTGTTAGCGACTGTTGGAGGGGTGATACCGATGTAGCTGAGATACTGATTTATCACTCACAGAATGTAACAGATGACGCCAATACTCCACATGTCTGTTGGGTAGCTGATAGCTTCGTAGTTGATCACCTCAGGAGCTACAAACTCAGGAGTTCCAAACAGAACCTTCAGAGAGCCAGAATCCTCTGAAAACAGAAAAAATAAATAAAAAATAAAACTGTGCCAGAAAACCAGACGCTGTTTGCTTTTGCAGTTGTTTGCATTTGTTTACCTAGCCTTCGAGCAAGTCCAAAGTCAATGAGCTTGATCTTGCTTCCTGTCTTGTTGATGCACATGATGTTCTCAGGTTTGAGGTCCAAGTGGACAATGCCCTGCTTGTGGATAAACTGAACTCCATCAATGATCTGCAGCATGTACTTAATCACCTCTCGCTCAGTCAGCTCGAAATCCTCATCAACGATTCGCTCAAACAACTCGCCGCCAGAAATCCTGCAGCCAATGGGGACCACAATGACATTATCGTTAAGCGACGCTAACCAATCACTGTCAGACTGCAATCTCAATGCATTGGAACTGTTTATGCACATTCCATTTAACAACCAGACGAACAGTGTCTGGAGTGCTAAACAATTCTCTTACAGTCAGGGAGATTTAATTCTGGGCTATTTTCCATCATGGCTGCCAAGCTGAAGCAGAGAGCATCCATGCTTTCTTCTCCCCACCTCCCTGTTTCTCCATCTCACTATATAAGGACATGTGACACGCACTTCTCCCATCACAGGGTGCTGGATTTTACATTCCACTCTCGCCATAAAAAGCTAAACTGGTGGAATGATTTAAAGGTGTTGAAAAAACAACTAACAAACACTACAGCCTGTTCAAAGACACCAGGACACACAAGGTAGGTTCACCAAAGTGACCCAATGTGATCACCGCTCCCAAACTGGAACATATCCGATGGCCTTTTCATGAAAGCTTTTATTTAGTTAACCTGTATCATGTTAGTCTTTCGGCTTAAAAGATTGAAGATATAGGGACTCACATCTCCAAAACCATGACCAAGTCAGATTTTCCCTCAAAGGCGTCCACACATTGCACCAGTTTGGGTTGGTGGAGGCTGTTCATGATGTCAATCTCCTGCCTCACGTTTTCTTTTTCCTTCTGTGAGAATGCCTTGATGAACTTCCCTGCCCATACCTTCTTGGTGGACTTTTCCACAAGTTTGAAGACTTGACCAAATTTACCCCTTTTAGAAATAAGAAAAAGGCAATTGAAGAAACTGGAAGAAAATATCTGGTACAGTAAATCAAAAATGGTTATATTGATAATGCATCTCTTACGTTCCTAAGCGGTCCTCTATATCATAGAAATCCTTCACGCTGCAGTCTTTCTTAATGACCACATCTCTGTATTCTGGTTCTTTCTCCTCATCTGTGAAATGAACAGGATATGTATCAGACTGGCCATGTGGGAGTCATATTAGTAAACTCTGGATTCAGGAGGGATGGAATGGTGGGCTAATTGCTTTGAACTTCATACCATCATCGGACACAGTGGCTCCAACTTCCTCCTCTTCCTTTTTCTCTGGAGAAAAATGTGAATGTTATTTAAAGGTTTAGTTTTTAAGTAGGGCATCAGCTCATCACATTTACACTTTTGGGGTTCAATAGTCTGAGACCACAGTGAATATATATATATTTCCAATTAAACCTGAACAAAAACTGGAAAATATGTCAGATTTCTTCCTCTTCCCATCCTATGTCTACATGATTTTTCCCCTTTTCGTTTATTTAGTTCTATATTTTGTATAATGTGTAAATATATAAAATATATAATTAATATATATAAAAAATTGAACTAAATGAATAAAAAAGGGTATATATATAGTGAAATGAACAGGATATGTATCAGACTGGCCATGTGGGAGTCATATTAGTAAACTCTGGATTCAGGAGGGATGGAATGGTGGGCTAATTGCTTTGAACTTCATACCATCATCAGACACAGTGGCTCCAACTTCCTCCTCTTCCTTTTTCTCTGGAGAAAAATGTGAATGTTATTTAAAGGTTCAGTTTTTAAGTAGGGCATCAGCTCATCACATTTACACTTTTGGGGTTCAATAGTCTGAGACCACAGTGAATATATATATATTTCCAATTAAACCTGAACAAAAACTGGAAAATATGTCAGATTTCTTCCTCTTCCCATCCTATGTCTACATGATTTTTCCCCTTTTCGTTTATTTAGTTCTATATTTTGTATAATGTGTAAATATATAAAATATATAATTAATATATATAAAAAATTGAACTAAATGAATAAAAAAGGGTATATATATATATATACACACACACGCACATTGATACATTTACATGCATTGATGCATTTGATATAATACATTTCATATAATGCCCATATAATATACAATGCAATGCATTTAATATTGATATAATAGACAATGCAATGGATTTTCATTTAATTTAATTATATAAGATCATTGTTAAATATATAACACACACGCACACGCACACACACAGTATATTTGATAGACTATTGATGTGACATTACATTTGATAACATATTGTATAACATTCATTATATTAATTTATGCATATAATATTATAAGACTTGAGTTTATGCCAACTCGAGTGATGCTGCCATAAAGGCAGGAGAAATTCTGAAATTAAAATCATTAAAATTGTTATGATGATAGTAGAATTTGTCATGGAAATGAGTGAATTATTACAAAAATGAGAATGTATAATGTAGGAATTTTCACTAGTGGCTTCAGATTTTTGGTCCCCACTGATTCTCTCTCGATCAATAGTAACACAATTAATCAGAGGTTGTTTCTCACCTGTTACCTCCTCCACTCCCACTGTAATGCGCTCAGATTCTGCACTGGGCTCTCCAACTCCATAGACATTAACAGCTCGAATGCGGAACTTGTACTGACGATCAGTGAGAAGGTTCTGGACGTGGTATGAGGTGTTGTTACAGGAGGTGAGGTCATTCCATGTGTTGTCGATCGAATTCCAGATCTCCAGGTTGTAGGACTGGACAATGCTGCCTCCATCGTAAGTGGGACCGTACCAGGAGAGGGTGAGCGAGGACCTGCGGATGTCAGAGGCAGCAGGGATGCCGGCTGGGGGATCTGGCTTATCTGGGACATAGATTTACCGGTACATTGAAGAGGTCAGCATTAGTTATATAGAAAGCAATGCATAGAAAGATAGGGAGACTACTAGTAAATATGCTTTATGGTACTATGTTGTATCAAAGTGCTAAATACAGTCTCTCATAATCAAATCTTTTTCCTTCCTGTTTCTCATTATGTGTCACTTCCTGTCTTTGTTTACTCCCATACCTACGATAGTGAGGTTGAGTGAGGCCTGCTTGGTACCAAATTTATTCTGCAGTTCAAGAGTGTAGCAACCACAGTGATCTTGGTCACTCGCTGCGATTGTCAGGTGGCTGCTGTTCTCTGTGGTCTCTATGGAAATGCCCCCACTTCCTGGCTGGATCTAAACAGGAGAAGAGTATACAAAGTATATAGGACTTAAGGCCTTTAGGCTTTCATTTTCTTATTTTCACCTCTTCTTTAACCACTTTCATATCAAACATATACACCAAGTAATCATGAAATCTAAACTGATCCTTACTACTGTAATTATTAAGATTTTTTTTGTCTTCCTAATCTCTAGGAAACAACATGTAAAGATCACAATAGGCAACCGCCACACCATCCTCACACTCTCATTTCACCATCTGTCATCTAACATTGGTTCCCAAAGTGGTTCTGCATAATCTCTGCTTCATTTTATATATTAATGTATCAGTTTAAGTGTTTTGTACTACAGATTCTTCAGTTAATCAGCAATGAATCAATCAGTGGTCTCTGAACTTGATGAATCACAAAAACCATTCATGCTAATAATCACACAAACGATGCAAGTCTGCTCACAGTGTGAGAGGGGCAGCGAATATGAAACGCTCGTGCAACCTTGCAGAGACATTTCAGTCTCCTATTAAAGTTAACAGGTGGGGTATAATACAAAATTCGGTTGCACTTTATTTCAAAGTCCAATTCTCGCCATTAACAAATCATTAACTATGACTTTTGCCTCAATAAACTCCTAATTTGCTGCTTATTAGTAAGGTAGTTGTTATGTTTAAATATTGGGTAGGATTAGGGATGTAGAATATGGTCATGCAAAATATGTGCTTTATAAGTACTAATAAACAACCAATATGTTAATAAAAAGGCATGCTAATAAGCAACTTGTTAATAGTGAGAATTGTTCCCTATAATAAATTGTTACCCAAAATTCTTTATTAAAATAATTTTAATAATTTACATTAACAGCAGCAGCTGTTCAGTTCGCATATGCTGTATATCTTCACAACTCTTCTCTCAAATAAAAGCCTGCTGTCTTAGATAGTCAATCAAAAGTCAGACAATACAATTAAAAAATTAATCATTCAAAATATTTCTTTACTATTACAATAAAATGACTATTGATAATTCAATGAAATATATTCCTGTTTATCTGAATATCAATTAATCGACCTATAGTACTTTATGTCACATTGATTTAACAGTGTTTGCGTATCGATACTGATCCCCCAAAAATGGTATTAGAATCTGTATCGGCTGATCAAAATGACAAGAAATGAGTGATCGGTTTTGGCTATAAAACTCCCGATCAGAGTATCATCTTTTGTTCCAAAATTGTTTTTGAGATATAATTTTACAATAAGTATTTGTGCTGTCAGTTTTAGATTAAAGGGGTGCTCTGTGCTCACATGGGAAATTTCTTTAAGGTGCAGTCAAAAATCACTGTAAATAGTTGCCTTTATTTCAGAAGGTTTGGGAACCAATGATCTGTCATTGTACTCTCTGTCCTTTTCTTACCGACTTTTTAAATTTGAGCCAGGTGCAAGTTATGGGTGCCGTCCCTCCAAAGTTGCCCAACAGCTCCACCTTTTCTCCTGCCCTGATCTTCTGATCTCCAGGGAACTGCAGAAACTGTGGCGGAGAACCTGCGTGGCATCATAAGAAAACATAGGTTCATATTCAACACTCTCATGGAAAATAGTTATTCCGTATTTTCTTTCTCTGTCTGTCTACTATCAGTATTCTGCAAGACAGCTTATCACACAAGAATGTGTCTCTGTACATGGCCTTCAGGTCAAATATTCTTGGGCCTGTATGGTTATGTAAGGGATAATGGGAGAGTAATCTTACCCTGTTTGGCGGGAGCTGGTTTCTTCTTTATTCTGGCTTCATCTGCAGAAGAGAGAGCATGTATTGACATAAGATAACATCTACTGCAACAGCGTCTACTGTGCATTTTTAGCTAAACATATTTACATAATTATTAAAATAAACATTTCATTAAAGGGATGGTTCAGCCAAAAATGTTCATAGTTTTCTCCTCCTCGTGTTGGCTAAAATGTGTATGACATTCTTTCTTCTACAGAACACGAAATAAGATATTCTGAAGAATATTGGCAACCATACAGTTTTGGTTACCATTGACTTTCATGGAAAAAAAGAAAAAAAAAATGCTCAAAATATCTTCTGTTGTGTTACATAAGAAACAAACAAAATCACATGAGGGTAAATAATGGCAGAATTTTTATTTTTGGGTGAACTATCCCTTTGGAGGAACTTCAAGCATAAATAATGATTTTAGAAGGATTTAACAATTTTGACTATTTTGACAATATTTTGCAGCAGAAACAAAAACAAATTTGAATAATGGTAAATGTTATTTATTATGCTTTCATACCACCATTAAAAAAAAAATATTAGCATTGGTTAGCATCATTTTGCTCATATTATAAACATAATATCTTATTTCTTAATTCAAAAAGTTATTCATCAATAGATTTATATTTTGTTTTATGATAGCAATGATTTTGAAATGGTAATTGTCAAAGAGGTCTTTTATAGAGGCTATTGCTTTTGTTATATGCAAATAAATGCATATTAAGAAATGTGATGCCAAATTTGTTATTTGAAAAACAAAAAGGAGTAAAGTCACAAAACAATGTGATATTATATGTATTTTAATACCCAATAGTTCGATTGCAGGAATTAAAAAATTTATTTTCTTCCTTCTTAAATTGATAAATAATAAACTCTCCATTCAGTAACCAATCAAACAATCCAGTAGTCAAAAATATCCAGTAATCAACCCTGTTCACATGATTGAAATTTCATTTTACACCATTTCAAAGGAAATAACTAGTCAACATTCATCTGAGAACTGACAGGAGTTCTAAGGAAACTGCCGCTCCTGATCAGCATCCAGGGAGAGAGTGTTTGTGTGGACACTGTGTCTTGCTGGAATTCCCCTTATACGGACATGCTAAATATAGGGTCTCCAAAGATCCAGGAAGCAGTGGCTCTCTCTCTCTCCACTATTTATTTAAGGTTTGATCGCCGTCAAGAAACAATGCAACATGTAAACCCCACTAATACTCCAGCACACTCCAAACAGAGAGACTGAGAAAGGGGGAGAACAGGGGTGAGGAAGACAGAGAGGACAGTCAGATCTTTATGTGTTTCAGCTCACAGAAGTCTACCATTTTAGGCCTTCAATTGCTTCTTTCCTATCTTTCATTTTCTCTCTTATGCCTGGACACACCTGAACTTTTTCCATAAGAACTGTGGGAATACAATGTACTCCGTTCTGGTATTTGCCAGTAACATGCTTTTCGTGCACTAAATTGTAAATCACTTTGACATTGTTTGTTAAGAGCATAACTGCAATGTTAATGTGAGCCACTTAGAGGCTGCTATGCTTATGAAATACTAGAAGACCAAATTCAGCAGTACAACTGGTTGCCTATTGTTCCAAAACACCATCGGCTGAGTTTATTTTCTACTCTACCATGATCACATGGATTAAAATGTAGGATCTAGTGTGACCATTGTGTTAAAAGCTGGAACAAAACAAACAGGCAAACCATTTGAGCACTATAGATACAATCTGCCGTCAGATACTGTGGGATGGAAATCCTCTTTGGGAGTCTATATAGAGTGCGCGTGATGACCATTGTTCCCGTCTGTAAGGTCAACTTCTGACATGACAAATATTTTTGAAAGGGAAATTGGAATTAAATGTTCACTAAATATGTAGCAGAATTAAGGACTAAATGCTTTTGCCAACTAATCTCAAATCTCAGATGTATGATTGTTTACAAAAATTCACTATATTATAGCCCAGCTCTTTATATAAAGTATGTCCAACTTTGTATGTCCACATTTATCCACATATATACTTATGTAGTCCAATATATAGAATATCTCAACTGCTTGTATCATCACAAAATGTAAAGTATATTATCACTCAGCTCTAATTTAATGAATGTGACTATAAGGCATGACCTGACTTGACTTGATTTTCCTTCAAAGGTGCTCTCATAAATAAACAGTTCACCTAGATATAAAAATTCAGTTGTTGTTTACTCATCCTCATTTTGAAACCTGGATGACTTTCATTTTTCAGGTGGATCACAAAAGGAGTTTTTTATTATTATTATCTTAATGTCCAAGCTGCTCCTTTTCATACTCTCAGTGTCAATGCTGACCATAAAAACTTGGAATATATAGTCCATGAGTTTTGTGGACTACTTCTATGTATAGTTTTTGGAGCATGTCAACATTCTTCAAAATGTCTCCTTTTATGTTCCACTAATGGAAGACATGTTGATGATCACTGAGGTTGAGAAACAGATTAATGACATTTCATCCCTTTATAAATAAACTACTAACATCACAAAAAAACAGGCCACAACATGTGTCCTTACTCACTTTCTGTAGTGGGAGTTGCAGAAGAGCTCTTCCTGTTTTTCTTATCTGCTGATGGGTCTGAGGGATCTAGAGGAATGCAAAAAAAAAAAAAAGATTTTAACAATATTTCCCCCCTTTTTGTTTCAAATAAATCCTAATTATGAGTTTAGGAGGAATTTGACACTGTTAGTATTGTTATTGGGTTATTGGTACTTACACCCTCACTTAATATTATATGTTTCCAATGACATGCATAAGGGGAAGTCTAGAAGACAGGACACTTACCATCTACAGTGACCATACAGGAACACTCTGCTTTACCATGTGCATTCTCTGCCTTACATGTGTAGCGTCCTTCGTCCTCTGGTAGAGCCTTGTCGATTGTAAGTGAACACTTTTCACCTGATGTAAAATAAGAGGTAGCATTTAATGGCAAGTGTATATGACAACTGAATTGTTTTATGATTGAATTTTTGTCTTTTCAGCCTTATTATTAATTGAAAACTAAATTCTGGCCTTATACATTGTAAAAACTCTTATGCCAGCTATGCTGACACCCTTAACAGCTTTTGAGGCTTGACTCTGATAAAAAGGATACTTGATTTCCAAGAATAAAATAAAAAATAATAACATGGAATAGTCAACATCTTTTTTTTTTCCATATTATCCAAAGGCTTCAAATTCTAAAGTTCTTCTCCATAAATAAATATTTTTTTTAATGCAAATTATTCCATTAGCACAAATTATTAATGTGAACACATCACCACAAATATCTGAAAAAAAAAAAATGTAAGAAAACCAGGGGCCGGTCTTCTTTTCTGTTTGTTTGTTAGTTAGTTCGTTTTTTTGTTTGTTTATTTTTACACTTAAGAACTAAGTTAATAATATTTTGTATTCCCAACCCAAGTCTTAGGAATGCTCTTATCTTTTTTCTTAAGATTGTTCTAGACAAATTTTTAAAAATGTTTTGGTAACAAAAAGTTACCAAAACATCCAACTTGCCTTAACCCCCAAAAGTAAGATGTTCAATGAATTTATTCATTTTCGTCTTAAGAAAAAAAATGAGATTTTAGAAAATATTTGAGAACTTAAGAATTGCACTTTCACGATTGAACATTCTTATAAACAAAAAGGTTTTGATGAATCCATACCCTGCTTTCTAAACATAAAATTGACCAGAACAACCAAGAGCCTAAAGCACTGGATAATGTAGGGGACACCCATCACATCCCTGTTTGATTTAGACTCAGGGAATCCTCTATTGCTATTTCAGAACTTTCTAATTGCGACTCAGATCATCATTCTGTCTCATGTCAGTGGAAGGGGTTAGAGAGACCTTAAACCCTCAGATCAAATAACCTAATGTGAATGAGCTCAATGAACCAAGATAACACTCACTGAGTGCTCCAGTTGGCAATGAATCAGCCTCAGCTTTAAGATCATTCCTCTCAGCATGTGATTTACAACACAGCTCCGAACACACTAAAATAGGGGCTTTAGGAAAAGAGGTTTTAAAGCTGTCCTCGTCATTAAATAACTCTACAGACCCAAGGCTATCACATTTCATTGGAATTGTCTGTCACATTTAAACATCTATTAATCAAAAGAGACAAAGAACTGTGTAGAAAATACAAGATCAAGAGTATTTCGCATTGTAAACTGTGAAATTGTTGTCAAACGTATCTACTTTCATACCTTCCTGTGATAAGACAATGAACTTAGATGCTTTCACAATTTTCCCATCAAGAATCCAGGTGATGACAGCTTGGGGGTCAGAGGTCACCTGACACTCTAACCTCAGCCTCTCTCCATCCACCACAGTGATGTCACTGAGGGGCTGTTTGAAAACGGGCAGCTTTCCTGCATCCTTCTCTCCCCCATTCACAACTTTTGCCTTTTTGTCGTTTGTCTCTGTTATCTGTCCATCAGTTGTCTTCTTCTCTGGGCTGGCTTTCTCCTTTTTTTCAGTTGTCCCTGCATCAGTGCTGCTGGCTTTTTTCTCTGTTGTTGCGTTTTCCTTTATGTTAACCTTTTTATCAATTGCACCACCATTTACGCCATTGACATCACTTTGCTTTTCCTTCTGTGGTGTTTTGGGTGCTAGCTTTGATGAATTCTGTTCATTTTCCTCAGTCTTCTCTGGTTCCGGTGCTTGCTTCTTGTTCAGGGCGGACCTGAAGTCTGAAGGTGCGCTGCTTGGAGGTGGCGTGGCAGCAGGTGCTTTGGGTGAACCATCTTTCTTGTTGAGCAATGATCTAAAGTCAACCTTTATTGGGGTGCTTGTCTTGATCTCAGACCCTGGCTTAGGCCCCGAACGGGGCTTTAGAGCTGCCCTAAAGTCTGTCATCTGGCTTCCTTTACTGACCTCTAGAAATTAAAACCAAATTTATGAAAGCTCTGTTCGTCAGTCCCTCTCAGTTCCTTTGGTAGGGGCTTCTTCAAGCTGTAAATTAATACAGATGTCCAGTTGTATGAACGTTCCTTCACGATCCCACTTGGTCCAGTGACTTAGTGGAGGTCCTGCTCTGTCTGTGGTCACTGTGCAACTCTCTGTTCTCCCCACTCAAAGCACTGCTGGGACAACCCCTCTGGACCAGAATGAAAGAGGGAGGAGAGAATAGAGGGTAGAGAGAGGACATACAGAGGGAAGGAGAGAGATATGTGAGGCTGGGGAGTGGAATTGGATTGTTTAAAAGCTTAGACTCCATTCTATAATAGGTTAATTGGAGACAGGAACACATTTCATATCTGTGTGGCATCAAAGGGGGGAGCGCCATTGCCTTATTAGGGAAACACTTCCAGTGCATGGGCATCAACACAGCGGAACAGAGCTGGGAGGTAAACAGATGGCAAGATAGCATCAGAATCTGATACATTATTAGTATGTTTAGAACACAAATGCAGATAAACATCTTGAGCCTGTCACCAGTGCCTGATTTGGAGTTACGTTCACTGAAAGGCAAGAACTTTTTAATAATTTGAAAAGAAAGAGAATCTCACTGTTCCTTTGGTGCTTGGACAGAAACCAGAAAAGAAGTGTTCTGATTATTCCGTGGGTGTTTCTTTGGATGCTTCTAACTTTTTGACCTCTCTATAAATAGGGGCCCCTCATTGGGCCATTTTTGAAGATGCATTTCACCAATCAGAGTTGAGTTGCATGTCTGCAACAGTTTATATTAAAATGTTACATGGGCAGCCTTATATGGCTATGAACGTATCTGTTACTCTTCTACTTGTGGACACATCATGGGAATGTCTCCTAGATAAAATAGCTTCCTGTGCTGTTTTGCTTCACCACAAGGTGAATTGGTGAGTGAATTTTCCATTGCTGCTGGTATGAAACTTAATCTCCCTTATATTCTGCAAAAGTCCAGTCCTCAATGGCAATCCTAGAGGTCTTAGAGATAACCATAATGATGAGATGGGATGTGATTTCAAGAGTCATAATGAACAGGTCTGATTGGGTGCAGCTGCTGATATCTGATGATTAGAAACACTTTTAAATAGGAGATTTAAAAACAAAGTCTCATTTTGTGTCGCAAAAAGCTGGAAAACACATTACTATTATGTGGGTTTTAAACTCTTGTCAGCAAAATTCCAGATTCTATTGTTAACAACAAAACAATGGTAAAGGATGCATCATGAAAAGACCCTCGCTGCTTTGTTCTGGGAGTTTATCTTCGGCATTGGGGCAGGAACATTAACCAGACTTATAAGGAACGAACAAAAAAATCTCATTTTTAACTGCCACCCATTTATGCGCTATATCCTCAAGCATTTCCACAGCTTTACTCTGCTATAAACATCTCTCTTAACTTGGAATCTATAAGCTCACCTATTTTTTACACTGTTATTAAGCATATACCATGGAGAAGACAGTTACAGTATACAACTGTTTTTTTTTTAAAGCATTAATTGTGCAAAATAAAGCCAACTATCAAAAAGAAAGAAAGAAAAAAACAAGTAACTTTAGAACATCACTTTTATTAACCTTTATAAAGTTATAGCTAATTTATTCACATAAGAAGTGCTAAGTTTAAAGTCAACATTTCACACATACTTTGCCAGCATTTATTTACACAGGCCACAAACTGCAAACTGTGACTGTCTACAGGCAGCGTTTATTGTAGGAATTAGTTTTGCTAAACATACAAAAACAGAAACAGCCCAACAATAATTATTTATTCAAAAGCAAGCAAAAGGCCATTGCTTATTCCTTAAAGAACACCCAGATTACTAACACATGACTTCATTCAAATTGTTTATCAGGCTAAAAAGACCTAGCAGGCTAAAGATGATGCCTGAAGGGAATAAACAAAGTTTTATTTTTGAACTGTTTTAAAGCTACAACATGAAATATGTTAGATGTTCCAGGCAGTTGTTTGCATCTGAGGATTAACTGGATGAAAATAACTGACTGGAGAAAAAAAATGGCAGGAATGTTCTAGAATGAAGAGTATAAGCATGAGTTAGGTGGATACTCTCTACCTTTTAGATATGATGACAGTAGTTTAAATATAAAAATATGAGTATGTCTGATGTGTATTGAAGGAGAGATATCAAACCATTTCACAGTAATCTTAGGTCTAAACCATTTTTTTTGCTTGCAAAACGTAATATACTTTATATTTGATGCACAAATAAACTTTTGATCTGAATCTACTCTTCAATGTGATTTAAAAATGTATAAATCTGCCAAATTCTATGATCAAAACCAGAATCTCAGTCAAAGTTTTTAGTTATTCAGTTATTAGAACCTTAAGCCTATATGTGTTTAAATGTGAACATACTGTATAAACTGCATTTTCTCTCAAGGGTTAACAAGATAGCTAGTCTGAGTGACGCCCTGGACTACATACAATATAGCAATAAACAAGTCAAAATGGGAATACACAAGTGAGAAATTTCTTATACCAATAATAAACTCTCATCTCCTCCTTGCATTTAAATTATGACGATACCCATGACACATTCTGAGATAGTAAAACAACAGAGGGTGTGAGAGAGTAGGGGGCATCCCTTAATATCCTTGCCGAGAGTGGTGTGAAAGGAACATTACTATATGCTTTGTGTCTGAGAATGGAGAGGCTCTCATTTGGGGCAGACAAGCAAGGGGACACTGTTTACAGAACAGCTTGTGTGGTCTTTCTTCTTCTGAGACCAGAACCTTATATGTCCATAAAGGCTTAAACCTCCAGACCAATCAGCACTTCTCATACCAGTCATGATCCAAGGCTTCTGCATACTGTTCAACAATGGTTCTTTTCAGAGAATGTTGTCGGGTAATATATAATGTTTCACATTTCACTTTGAAAGATGGATGTTAGTTATATCATCAGTTCATGATTCATGGCTGTTACTACTATATAAACCTCAATTAATATGGCTTTGGTAAACTGACAATGGCATTTCCCCCCATTTTTATTTAATTTTAATTTTAATTAAATATTAATTAATTTTAAGTTATTCAAAATACATTTAATATGTAATTCACACATTAACACACGTCTATTTTTTTTAACACACAGCTTCTGTTATTTATTTTCACCTTAAAATGTTTTTTTTAAAGATATATTTTAATTTTAATTAAATATTAATTAATTTTAAGTTATTCAAAATACATTTAATATGTAATTCACACATTAACACACGTCTATTTTTTTAACACACAGCTTCTGTTATTTATTTTCACCTTAAAATGTTTTTTTTTAAGATATATAAATTATTATAAATTTTTTAATAAAACTGTGATTATAAATGATTTTAATGATTTTTTAATAAAATGACAAAAGTTATGCACACTCACTTGTATTTGGACCAAGGAAAGTACTTTAGTACTTTTTACGTAATAGTTAAACATTTTACATTTTAGAGTCATCAGAAAATATCATACTGTCTATCATCAAATATCATATATCATATCATATCATATCATATCATATCATATCATATCACATCATTTAAATCAGTGTTTTCTTGTGTCGAAGATGTTGTGTCAAGGTAATATAGCAAGTTTTATTGTGGCTGTGCAGGCTGTAGGGACAGTTGCAACACGTTGTTGTAATCTTCTCAATATGCTGCCCCTTACCATGTAAAAGCTTGCCATAACATTACAAAATTGTAATTTTATGAATTAACAAAGAACCCCTTTCAATAGTCAGGTCTCGCTCCTTTTTATTTAAGTAAACAGGTTTTTAAAAATCAGTCTGAGTCTAATGTGGTCTAATGTGGAATTTCCTTCTGTCTCACTCTCTCTTTGTCACACACACACACACACGCGCGCACGCACACACACACACACACACACACACACACACACTTATAAAGACAGTTAAATAAAATGGTAGATTTTGAATCTGAACAGTAAGACTGATTACTACTTGGTTAACTGCTAGTTAGGCAAAGGTTCTTAAGACACAGTCTTAACATAGTGGCTATGTTTATGCAACTGGCCCCAGTTCAGTAAACTTTCACAGAAGTTAACAGAAGTAGGAAATTATTAAGTCTCAGTTTTCGAACTTTGAATATGTTTTAAACTTTTTACAATGCTTTTTCTTTATTATTTTCTTTATATTTATTATCTTCATTATCTCAAACATCCTTAATTGTCACTGACCCAGGTGACAATGATAGAATATAATCTATGAAAGTTATAAACAAAACTAGATTGAGGAAAAAAGACTAGGTCTGCCATTTTGTGGCAGATAATTTGAGCCAACTGTCATCATGTGAAATGAGGTAAGAGAGAGAAACGTTAAGAAATGTTTTCTGTTATCTGTCTATAATCTGTCTATAATATATGAGAATCATGAGGCCGAAATTGTGGTCTTTATTAAACCTTATTTAATGCTTGTTTGACCTAAATATGGAACAACTGGACCAGTCTGCACATAAATTGACCTATATCTCCAGACAGACGACCTGATTGGTAAGTACAGCAGATACGTCACAATGGGCGGGATTACAGTACACTCACTTCCGCATTACTGTACTGAATGGATTTAATGAAACTGGTCGGTTATGCTGAAGTTGAACACGTTTTAGACGCAGTTCAGCGTTGTCAGACATTTTTTTGACATAGAAGCTGTTCATTTTCATAAACAGATTTACATAAAGTAATTAACGTTAAATAAAAACTAGACTTGATATAATCATCGTACTAAATCAGTATTCAGTCGTCTAAAAGAGTAAACTGCCTCATAACTGAAAAATGTTAAAAGCAATTATCCTAATTGGGGGCCCTCAAAAAGGTGAGATTTTAGTTTTTTTTTCTAACTGTATGAAAGATGAATGATACCGCAACAACATTATCACATATGATGACGTGGCGCAAAGGACGTAGCTACGTGATAGCGTCTGATATGATAAACTTCTGATATGATAAACTCGAATTAGCTGTCTTAAAAGTAGCAAATATGGTGATATTAATATGGATATTAAAACCTGTTAGAAAAACGCATTTCATAAAAATGCCCTGCGTTCAGGTACCAGGTTCCGCCCCCTGTCATTCGAGGTGCCCAAACC